ACCCAAGAAAACCCATCCTGTGATACACCACCAACAACCACAGAAGACCATGCACAGCAATCCGCTACTCCGGGAACGTCTACTGACGAGAATACCCCATTAGCACTCCGAAGACCAGTCAGAAGAGCAAGCCAATTCGACGAGGCCCTTTTGAGGGTGGAAAGTTGTGGTGATTCGGATCTACGAGATCATGCCTGCCCTGGAACAGCGTGGTACAGTTTCCAGACATTGGTAGTCAATCGACCTTGAGCAATGACGTCAGTAGCACNCGTTCCAGCCAATCAGATACAATGCAGAGAAGAGCAGTATGACGCAAGATGTGATGCAATATGATTGGTGGAAACTAAGGTAGCCAATGATCTTTTCTTGTGTACATATATATTCACTTTCATTTCCTTCAATAAACGACTTTGTGATTCACCTGTCTTGTGGCCTTTTTCCTCGTGTCTCGATCCTGCGGGTTATTGCGAGTTCGAGCCATTGCGGTCCAAGGCCATCGGTTTTCTAATTCGTGTTCCGTGATTCCCATTGCGTAGTTCGTGTCCGGAATTCTGTGCGTAACTTCACTACTACTAATTCCATTATCATTACACTCCATCTTAGACAGTTCACCTGGGTATGTCGCCCCACCACATTACTCATGTTTTAGTCTGACATAGGGAGCGTATAGCAGTCTGAAAGCGTTCATCGTGAGCCGGTTGAAAGACAGTCGAATAGGCCTCAGAATGCTCCACGTGCTAGCTTAGACCCAATGGGTGTTTTCTCGGGTCTTTAGTGATGGCGTTACCATAACTCCCAGGTCTATTTCGCATGATGTTTTGCGCAATGTGGTTCCCTGGAAGTTGTAGACTACCTCTGAGTCAACACGCCCCGAGTGCAGGTGAGCACATTTGCGGCGTTGGTTGAAAGAGCCCAGGTATCCACCCACTGAGCCATGTTTTTCAAATCCTCTCTGAAGAGAATTTCGATCATTTATACTATCGATTTTGATTTATTCGGCATACATGAAGGATGGGCTGCACAGTTGACCTCCAAGGACAGTGTCGATGTCCAGCGGATGTGCGAATGAGCTGGATTCTGGGGCGTACAGTGAGGTACAATTTGATCCCAACATTTTCGCTTTGTCCTCATCTTTTTCGGCCATTGCCCCATCTTTGGCGAGAGTTGGGATACCAGGTGTGGCTCTGATTCTTCGCCTGAGGTAGGTATACAATTACTTTGGTGCCTGTACATAATCCGCTTCGAGTTGTTCCTCGAATCTGGTTCTCTTTCATTTTTTTCAATGCAGTAAATGATTCCGTATACCACAATATTCTTCATATCCTGTGCCTGTTGCACGGTACCTATACAAGGTTTTATTCCGCTGCCGGAGGTACGCCTGCAGTTCTCGATCAAACAACGGCGGGCCCATAGCGTGTGTCCGGTGGCGGTGGGGTGGCGAGAATTTCAACACGAGATGATAGATTCCATGATGAACCAACTCACAGAATTTGTCCACATCCTCAGGGTTTCGAGAATCCCAGGTTATGATCGATGCAGTCTGACACATTTCCGGAAAGGATGAGCGCCACACATTCCGTCCGTCCTGTGGTCTGTCCGTTTGGGGTAAGCCACGCCTCCAGTGTATACGCAGAACGGAGTGAGCACCAGATGCGATTGGTGGAAGGAGTTTATTCCTGGTTGCATCACATTACCTCGGCGAGAACACCAAGAAAAAGGATGGATTTGTGATCCTCGCCTATTCGCGTGGGTACATAAACATGCTGGACAAGGGAGGGAGTCCGGACAGTAAAAAGAAGCTCTCTGAAAAACAATTCCGCGTGCAAAGAGCGGATATCAGTTTCTAAATCAATATAGGGCGCATTGAGATCACCTAAGACAAAACAATATCCATCGCAGGCGTACCTTTGTATGCTGGCCAACAGCTTCGGGACGTACACAGCCGGTGTGCGGCAGATCACTCCAACTGTGGTATACCCTCTGGCACATAGCTTGATTCTGCACCACAGGGATTCTCCAAATCCTTCCGGATATACGTACATGTCCAGCACTCGAACAGGGAGACCCGAGGGAGAAAAAGTGGATAACTCCACCACCGCGACGTTACGATGATTGATCTATTTGTAACAATGTGTAGCCGTGGAGCGATATTTCGAAGTCCCAGACATCCGGTGTCAACCAGATTTCAGTGATTGCAAAAGCATAGGGATTATGTGATACAACCAAGTCCTCGAACTCATCCCCTTTTCCCAGCATCTTTCAGGTATTGATTGAGGCTAGCACAGCGTGGTTACCTCGCCACTCTTGCCTCAACCTGATCCCTTGTCCGTGGTTAAGCAGTCTCCTAAGTCCTTCCCCGAAAAAGAGTAGCCAGCGCAGCTGAGGGCGCTTCCGATGAACAGGAAAATCCCGTATACATAGATCAGTCTCCTCTTTTACACAGCGCTCCCTGAGTTCTTCCAACGCAGTTTTCAGTTTACTGCGCTGGTCCGAATCAAGTTCCCTGAGGAACCGCAACGGAGTTCCCTTCAAATTGTGCGTCCGCTGGATTTTCACTTTGGCCTCGCCTATTGCCCGAAGAATCACTTTCAATGGCCGTGGAGAATTATACTGTCGGGGTTTTCCAGGCCGGAGGGCCGCTTCTACTCTGATTGATGCTGCTGGTTCCACCTCGCCGCCATCAAACAAGGTAACCATGTGCGACCACCGCAGCCGCAGGTCGTGGTCCAGTCCAGCTTGGGCAGTGGTGGCCTCAGCCTCCGGAAGATTGACAGCAATGATGCACTGCGATCTCGGACGGTGTTTCCTTGTCTGCATAGGTTCCTGCAAATCGAGGGGTCACCTCTCAATTGTCCGTGACATGTTATACTCATGTTGCCGGGATATCGTGGACGAGGGGACTGAGTCTGTCCGTGGGGGCGATGCAGCAGACGACTATCCCGCACTTTTCCCGGCTGCTTCTGCTGCAGTGTGGCTGCAGGAGCTGCTTTTGTAGGTGGGGTGGAAGTGATATCTGCATAAGAAGGGAGCACTTTCACCACATTGGCCGGCGCAATGTGGGCTAGAAAGGTTTTTGGAACTGATGAATAATCTTCCTTGGAAGTAATGATCGAGCACCTGCAGCTCACGATCTTCAGGAATAGAGAGAGGCATTCCTCTAGCCGTTTGTAATCGTCCGAGTCAATTTGGGAGCATTTCAAGTGAAGCAACCCATCAAAACAGAGCTCACTGGCGCTGGGGCCCACAATCCTGGAGCAGGTTGCACAGGTGTTCTTAGAAGCATTCTTTTTTGAGACATCCCTGAATGAACAGATCCAGTTGAATGCACAAACCGCAATAGAATAATCCAATTTAGCACAAAGTTGAAAAAGCGGTGTACCGCAGTCAAGGTCGCCAGGAGATGAAGGAATGCAGTACGTGAGCATTTCAATGCAAATTAAAGGAACAGTAAAAATTAACTCACGAGGACGATGAGCAATTTTGTGGGAGAAAATACGGAGAAGCGGTCAGTGATTCATTAAACTGGAGATGATGGAGACATGGAGATAGGAATGAGTATGAGGGAGGAGTACAGCGAGTTCATATATTTGTCAAAGTACATGGTCCTCTGTATGTTGCAGCACAGCTTTCTTCAGTGAGGTCACATTCATTGGCTTCGGGTTTCGATCAGTCATTGAGTGATTCAGGTTATTTAAGCGTTGGTCGCTTCGATTTGGGACCGAATTCTCGCTAGACACCTAACCTTAAAACATCTTATAGGTGAGGCAGGGAGTCTGATCCTCAATCTGGTCTGGGATGCAGATGCGTATAGTCTAAGCGGTGGAGACTGTCGCGCCTGACAACCTTTGCCTGAGCCAAATTGTCCATTGTGGGTGTAGGCTCCGCGCTTTCGAGAGGCCCAAACCTAACGAATCTGGAATGGAAAAGCGGTACTCGACAGTCAGGGATAAAACCCAGCTGAGAAAGGGTGGGGGAGAAACATAGCATGTTATGAACGAATATGCAGAGTGGGTTGCTACTCAGAGGTATACATAAAAAGATGAATGCGCATACAAAAACGCAGGGCCGAAAAATAAAGTGAAAAAACGCGAATGCTATAGACAATCTGAAGGATTGAAAAGCATGATCAGTATATTGATAATCAGTAGCGAATATAAAGATGGGCACAGCTGCTTTGCAAACATAGTAGTGGCGTGACGTCCCAACAATAAGATTTTCTAAAAATGACCGATGTTTTAATTGCTTTTAGAAAAGTGATGTTGAATTTGGGTGGAGTTGAACAGGTTTTGTTTTTAGCTGAATTTAAGTCATTCTTGGAATTTTAATTTGTGTTAATTAACCTTGATTGACTTTGTCCGAAAAGTATAAATACCGCAGAAGAATGTCGATGGTCCCTTGCGTGCTCATGCCGACATTGGAGCACATTGACTACATGGTCGCTTTTGAGAGAACGGTAAAAATTTCTACGGATCGCTGGATTGTTTCCTGGAGGACTTCTGCGAATTTCAAAAGGTTAACTGCACATCCGTATACGTTTATTTATTAATAACAGGTGATTAACTGATGCGAGAGAGGTGATTATAGTTCTCATCTTTAATGTATTGAACCCGTTTTAGTCTGCACAATACCGCTTGTTCGGAATTTTTTGGAATTACCACGGTTGGGAGGGAGTACGGAGTGATGAAACGTTGTCCGGTGTACAACCATGAATTCCATGTGGGTCAGCGAGATTTGTATACAATCGTCGTCTACCTAGAGAATAAGTCGATGAAGTGTGCGGTTTGATGCACACTTTTAGAAGTACTCACAAGCTAAGATTCAAGAGATTAGTAACTACGGTGGATATTAGGTATATACGTTGAAGAAGATCTCAATTGGATTCGAGGAGAGATGCGGTGAAATTTCGGAATATTCTGGAGAATCAAGGAGACGTTAGGATAGGGCTGAACGAATGCGTCGTTTGTCACATCTTTGCTTGTTTTCCTTTCTTACAGCATACCCCTATGGAGACAACGTTCTGGAAACGGGGCTAAATTGAGAGGATCACAAATACCAGATCGACTACATGAAGTATTGGAAGCTTCTTCCATTCACCGGCAGAACAACGAACTCCAAACTTGTTTGGCAAGGTCCATATTTGTCCTGTGCAAATGGGACTGAACTGAACATTTATTTTGTTCCTAAGATTATACTGCACTGCGTCAACAGAGTTATTGACGCTTTGTTAGCGGGCACCATGCACCAACTAAATTGTGGCGAGTGTGCTCTGGTATGCTACGCTTGTAGTAACTGAAAGTCATATAAGATTGAAACAAACGTTCACGAGAGAGGGTTCTTCCTGGTAGCGAATCATAAGGGCAATGGTCATGAAGTAGTTACCGCAGGGGAAGTAAAGGGTGAATGCAACTGTTACGCGCAGTGGTTGTCGCCCTATTTTATAATAATATTAACGGTATACTTCACAAAACCCATGAAGCATGCTAGTGCGTATGATCAATTGTACAACAACGAAAAAAGATGACGGTTGAGAACGAAAAGTAAAGGTACAAAGAGAGTACGAACGTAATTTTTAACCGGGGACAAAAGACATCGTAAAGATACATTGCGGTGAAAAAGAAACACGAAACGGACAGGATCATATCATGGAGTGATGAGCATGGTCTGATATGGAGAGTACATTAATGTAAACGATTGTCTTATGAAGAGCATTTGGGAAGACGCACAACTGTATTAATTGAGATCTTCACAGTTTTACCCCAGATAGGTGGATTATTGTTCGCGGCAAAAGGTGTTCAGATCAGAACTCAACTATAGTAATAGCAGCCTCAAGTAACGTCATGGATTAAACATCAAAGTTAGCTTACACAGAGTATGTCCTTCAAGAGCTAGGCGTCTCTTTGAATAGCTCAGGTACAGTGCATTAGAATTTTCAATGCAATCGATTTCGATGTTTAGCAGTTATGATAGGGAGGTACTTGGATATCGGGATATTATTCGAGTGTCGGGGATTAGTAACACAGACTACGGAGAGTAAGTATATCTCCCTTCCGTCTGCGAGCGTCAAGATAAGAACCAATAATCCACTAGTAGCTTTAACAAGCGGTTCGGTAGAAAAGTGTACATCAGTTTAAGTGAAAAGGGTAATCGATAGTGATGAGGATGAAATAGTCCTAGGTGAAACACTGGAGCATGCTGTGTTCCAAAGACTGAGAATAATGACATCGGCGAAGTACAAACTGGACGCTAAACGCAGAAGGCAAACCAATTCGGTATCACCAATGAAAGCAAATTGTTGCAATGTCTGAAAATTAGCAGTGAACACGGTCGATAAGGACGATGATCAACAATGAATCCAGTGCCAGTAATGCGGATGGCGAACACACTAATTGCGATGCTTACAGTGGAGAGGAATTCTTTGGATGAAAACCGCGTTTGAATGCTACGCGCTTAGAGGGATTAGCATGTATCACGGCATATTGGGAGGACGGATGGAGAAGTGTGAGGTGCGGAACTATCATAATAAGATAATTGGATGACTATACTCGAGAAAGTACCCACCGTTAAGCCACTGATAGAGTTTTGAATCTCCATCAGTGTACTGATGGAGGATCGAGACGTGAATGTGAACACTGTTATGCGTTTAGCGTGTGTCTACGATTGGTGAGAACAGATGAAATACGGTCAGTTAGAATGTGAAAGAATAGAATTAATTTGCGTCCATGCTTATAAAAGTATTTTTGCTGTAAGAAGAAGTCATGTGAGCTACTAATCCCATACCAACAAGTGGAGCGCTTTTCACTCCCAAAAGTTGCCTATATCGCGGATTTCTCGAAACTTGTCTGTCCGTTACTTCCGTTGTGAGTAATATGCAAAGAGATGCGGTAGGCAGTTTCCTTCAACGGTCAAAAACGAAAAAGACCCTCTGGAGTGAATTGCTTTGTTCTAATCATTAACCTCGTTTTGCTGCCGGGAATTACGATGGCGTGGTTCATATGTTTACGTCAAATTATTCATACCCTTAGATGTGTTCGCAATCAATAACTCTCCTAAAACCAGCACCGGTCATCCGGAATTAAAACAACATAACCAGAGGAAAAAGTCAATTACTAAATCGGGTTTTAGAACGCACTGCACACTTGGTTCAAGCAAGATCGCCGTGTCTTTTAGTCTTGAAGACTTGAATTAGTACAACGAATTAAGGGTTTCGCCAAATAGTGAAGTTCTGCATTTGTCCTCCTTCTGCATTCCGGTGCACTAGCTGAAAGGCAGGTTGACGGAAAAGAAGATGCGGGCTCCACTGTGGTGCCACTGGGTTGTAGAAGAGAGAAAGATCTGGAGTGGGAGAAGCAGGAGAGAGAGTAGAAGTGCCCCCCAGTAGATGGAGGCCATTTAGTTCAAAGGTGCGCGTTCGGAGTATAACTGAAAAACCAGAAGCAAGATACAATAAAATCTTCCAATGACTGTGCTGCTTCCTATTTTGCACACTCTGAGTGACCCTCACTTCTGTCCATTCCCGTCTAACGATCTGCAGGCTGCCTCTTGTTATTTTACTTGCTGATTGTCGTATTTCCAATTATCCCAACATTCATCCAATTAATCAATTCTTGTTTTTCGTCTTACTTTCACCGAATTGCTCTTTTGGAGCATTCCGCCATCTCGAACCATTTTCTCTGACATCTTGTTCCATTTGTAATTATGCTCAATGCGACCTTCAAAGTTTTCCTCTTCAGCTTCTCATATATGGATGATTATGTTGTATATTTGATCATGCCTATGCATGCTTCACGGGTCTCCGTGAAATATAAACTTATTATTAT